TCACGCAGACATAGCAACTACTCTAGACTTTTTCAAAACCAGTTTGAAGCTGTTCTGCAGATGTCTTTACTTCTCCTTGCTTAGGTATTCTTAAAATACGGTACCAATAAAATGGTGCACCAATTACCACTCTTCCAGCTGACCAGAGTACAAAAATGGCATTGATCAGTGCCTTTTACCCAGACCACTTTTTGAAGGGTCCTTAGTGCTCTCTGAGCTTGCTTGTTTTCTTGAAGACGTTTCATTACCCTGACTATAGTGCTAGTAAGGAGTGCTGTTTGCCATCAGTTTATATTCTGGTGTCTTGCCTGTCTGTTTGGGTGGGTGCGGTCTTAGGGATTCTTTGGTTGGGCTGTTTACTAATGGCTACACACAAGCCAACTAAAGCCCTTCAAAACATCCTAAGCAAACCAAAAGACCCAGCAACCCCAGAAGAAAAAACAGGAATCATCTACAACATACAATGTAAGAACTGTAACAACCACTATGTAGGACAAACAGACCGTAGTTTGGTAGAATGCATCCATGAACACCAACTGGCAGTCAAAAGACATGACAAAAATTCTTTGATTTCACAACATATAGACAGATTTAACCATAGTTTCCATTGGGAAAATGTGACAATCTTAGACCAGGCCAAATCCAAAAACGCTAGGCAATTTCTAGAAGTCTGGCGCTCTGACAAATCAGCCATCAATAGATACATAGACATTAATATCTATAGACTATGCAAAAGAGACGATCAACCAGCCCAAAAGAAAAAAAGACTCCAGCACTTCCCCACCAGTAATCAGCACGCAGATGAGCATAGATTAACTCCAAGATTAACATCAGACCAGCAATCAAGTAAACAATACTCCAATCAAGAAGCTGCCAAAGAAGCCAACAATAAACAGCCTAACCAAAGAATCCTTTAGATCGCACCCACCCAGCCAGAGAGGCAAGACCCCAGAATATAAACTGACAGCAAACCCCACTCCTTACTAGCTCTGATGATGTTACTTAGGGTAATGAAACATCTGCAAGAAAACAAGCAAGCTCAGAGAGCACCAAGGACCCCTCATTTCAACCCTGAGCTACAAATATTCTTCATTGGTACTTTTCATTTTGTATGCGTGCAGATGTGCATGGATATATTTGAGTGACTGGTGGTTCCTGGCAACCATCTCTGGTTTGTTGCAGGGTTTTGGCAATTGTATAGCTTTAAGATACTATACTATACTATCTTAAAACTTGTCTTGCTTGTCTTCAGTATTTTGGGAAACAAAAGCTGCTTTATCAGGATTCCTGGGGTAAATCTGTACAGTGTTGATTTTGTACATGTTGCAGTGTCTTCATAAGACTGCATATTTCCTTTTCTAATAGTGAAAGCTGATACGTTGCTGTTCTCACATCACAATGTACCATATTCACTTATTGGTGTGGGTGGTTGATGATCAAGATACTGGTTGTTTGGTGTATACAAACACACATACAATATATGATAATGTACAGGGTTTTTTTCTTAACAAACACAAGTACTCTTTCAATTTCAGTGGTTTTACAATAAATTCAACAAAAAATTGCACATAAGTGCACTTGAGCTATGGTGATCTAGAATTCAGTATAAAATAAGTATCTCTGAAGGGTTGTTACATACTCTAAAAAAACATTACTAATAGAACACACCTTACAAGATAGAATTTTCTTTTCTTCAACTACACTCCAACCATTTTAGTGATCATGGAACTAACTCCTTGCTTTCTGTGATTTGTCACTTATTTTTCTCTTACACTTCCCACACAAATCTTACAGCTCATGATACATGGTTATTAGAATTTGTTTCTTTGACATAAATGGTTATATCTACAAAGAATGACATTTCACAGATAAAAACAGAAACATTCTTATCCATACAGCAATTTGCAAGCTCTTTCAAATGAAAGTGATTACGAAAGCAATTGGGCAAGTCCGGTGGCTCTTTGAAGACTCTAAACCACAGCTTGGGCAAAGCTGATTCTCCTGGATTCTGGACCTTTAAAACCTGCTGGAAACCACTGTTTTACTGTCTTGTCATGGGGAGCATCTGAAGAAAGCACTATGGGCAATCCCAAGTTCTTTCCTTAATCCAGAGAGGAGTTCAGGGAGCCAATTCATTCACTGGCTCTTCTTTCCGCTGGAGTCGTTGATTCGGCTCTCACAGAGCCATCTTCAATTTTCCCAGTTTTCCCCAAAAGTGGAATTAATTATAAAGTACAAACAGCTTCTCACAGGATATAGATCCTGTTTTGTTTTTTACAAGACATAATATAGATAAATAATTTCTTGATTTCAAAAATTGGACACTGAAGGGAATTAAAGATTTCAGCTAGGGAAAGATATACAGACTTGTAAAATGGTGCAAATCATTATGAAAATAAAAATACTGAAAGGGACTGAAATGTTAGTAAATTTTCCCAGAATATTTATGGTTATTTTAATTCTAAATTAATAAAACTGTATTACCATAGTGTCTCAATTTTAATGTATAGGTAGTCCTCGAGTTACAAATGTAACGAAGCCTGCCAATTATATTCGTAACCTGAGAATTTGTTGGAGTGAATCACATAAAATGAATGTGAAAACTCCCTGCTTTTGCCCACACATTCACAAATTGAATGCGTAGCTTGTTAAGTGCATTAGGTATTTCAATGTGGGGAAGGCCATGGGGGGATCTAGTACTTCTGACCAACCAAGGTCTCCCCCAACCCACTGAGATATTCCATGCTCCTCTTTCCACCCCTTGGAGTCCCAAGCTGCTTGGGCCTTTCCTCCCCACCCAGTCACCAACCGCTTACTGCTAAAAAAAAAAAAGTTCAATCAGACCTTCCAATGTCGTGAGATCTTTTTTTCACGAGAAGTTGGAAGGTCTGATTGAACTTTTTTTTTATTCCCACAAACGTCTTTGGTTTTCCTGCACTTCTTTCATTTGCAACACAGCTTTTCCATTTCTCCAGTGAAAGAAGAGCATCTTGAGCTGCGATGAGAAATGCAACGGAGCTGGACAGCAGGTTTGTTTAGGAGACCCTCTTGCAATTTAGAGAAGGAGAGCTTTTGGCAAGCGAGGGGAGCTGGGCAGTGGCGCACCAAGCTCTCCAGCTCAGCAGCAGCACAATTTGTGAAATCCGGGCAGGTTTGGCACTCCAGCAAGTGGTGGGACAGAGCCATGCCCACTTGTGAGAGAGGCTGGGGCTCAGCAGGGAAGAGGAGAGACCAGCCCAGCACTTCTCTGCCTGGCTGGACATGGGCTCTGACACCCAAGGCCACACAGGAGGCGAGCATGGGGTTCTCAGGCATAGTACCAAAGGAGCAAGTGGAAGCATTTCTGTCGTCATTCATAAATGCGAATGACCACTGTGATGCTGCAAAATATGTAACTTTGAGACTTGGTCGTAAGTAGTTTTGGTGGGGATGTCATAACTTCAAACAGTCGCTAAGTGAACTGTCATAACTCAAGGATTACTTGTATATCAATGTTTAAAGTAATATGTTGTGGAACATCTATTGCAAGGTGGGTGGAATTCCAGCTAGAAAGTACATTTGAGGTAGGTAAACTATAGCAAAATATAAATTAATCATTTTTCCTTGCAATGCTTTGTACAGTAAAACATCGCCC